GCATTGAAGACAGAAATGCTTGGTGTTAATTTGCGTGATAGGTATTAGGAACGATGAATAAGGAGAAAGAACATTACTGACATTGCTCAGAATTGAAGTGGCAGTGGGTGGGGCAAATAGGTAGTTAAATTGATGGCCGATGGGGAGGAAAGGTTCTGGAATGGCGTACTCCAAATACCGTAAATCCGCGTACCTGACAACGCCTATGCTCAGCAGTGGGCGTTGCACGGCTGTTGATGACACTTTGTAGATATACTAAGGAATGGATTGCTGAATGCAGATGTTTGTTGGTCATTCTCTCAAGAAACAATGGGTTTATTTTAGAGTATAATTTTTTGAGTGGAAATAATAATTTATTTTAATGATTTAATGGACGATAACTAATATTATTCATATGGTTTAGTAGGTTATGTTGCTGTGTTTGTTAAGTATCAATTGATACTTAGATGGGATAGATGCTTCTAAATAAAAGAAAAAAAATATGAACCTTCTTGGATTCTATACTTTTTACGACAGAAGAACTAAATTGTGATACTCGTGCATTATATGCATGTATTAAAATATTTTCTCATATTTTACTTTGAGTCTATCAACGTCTTGGTTATTGCTAGTCACAATATTTTTATAAATTGAGACTGTTTGAGTATCACATTGGTCCAACATGAATGAAATCAATAGGGAATCATGTTAGAATCATTTTTGAGAGGTCAACGATTGGGCTAAGTATTCTATTTGCAAGGGAGGTTTACACATATGACTGCGGTTATTGTTCAGTAACCATCAAAGAAATATATATATCTGTGTATGATATAAAATGGCTTTTATGAGATTATAACATATATTTCTTAAATAACATTCAATTATTACTCTTAATGACTGTTATTGCTAGTGGATTAGGCAATAATAATATTGCTAAGTAGGTATTGAAAATTATGCCAATAAAGATATTTTGGCCGGACAGATAGGGTAGTTACGCAACATTTATCGTGAGAATTTTCGTATTTATTTAGGATGTGGTCACACATACCACGAGCAAGCGATATTCATAATAGCTTTTCAATTATAGCTATAGAACACTCAATATAAAAAACTATGAGTAATGATAATCCAAATGGTTGCAACCGATTACCAAAATATTTTTTAAGAGATAACTTTTGATTTTTAGGATAAATCAACTGAGATTAAAAGCTCACATAATATTAAAGTACATACATAATATAAATAGCCTTTTAACGATCATACACAAGTATGTGTCTTTTTTTTCTGTGCACCTGCTTCGCGAGTGGAGTCAAATCATGCAGCCTCCTCTTGCTTATTGGTGTTTGGAAAATCCGAAGTTTATGAGTGTATGTTAAAAAGCTTAATAATATAGACGTAAGTCTAGGTATGGGAATAAATATAATTGAATGCAATATTACTAAGCATTCCCATAATTAGTGATTCGCAGATCCATCGCTTAGCATTGCCGGAAGTGGATTAGTTACTTAATAGGTTTATTAGATCAGACATGATAATTGGATCACTGATACTTTGAAGTCTAGTTTAATGCTCCTCAAAGCAATAATTCGAGAAGAAAGAAATAAATTAACAACAAATAAAGTTCTTGAAAATATTTTTTAATAAAGTAACAATAGAATCGTTATTCTTAATGAAAAATGCTAAAAAAAACACTTTATCCGTCGTACTCTGAGATGGGACTCAAATTCATGACCTTCCGCAATCCGGGCGACTGCTCTAACCACTTAGCTACCCGGGACCTAACAGGACTGACGGATTTTTCAAAAATTTGTTACAACGCAATCGACCTAAACATTTTCATTAAGAATATTTTTCAGTGTAAAATTGATTAAATATAAATAAATAAATATTACACAATATCACACACATTGTTCAGATTCCAAGATGAGTAGTCAAAGCCCCCGTATTATGGAGTATCTGAGAGAACGAAAGTAACACAACACCCAGACCCGACACAATATAGAAAAGTTAATTTTCTACATTGACCCGACCGGGGATCGAACCCGGGACCTCAGAGATGGCGACACCTTGAAACCGGCGTCTTATATAATAAATAGAATTGTTTTTATACTACATAATATACACTGTTATAAGTTTATTTCTGTGGTTATTATAGAATATATAGACGTGTAGACGTATGATTGATCATGCTACTTGTGACATGTGGCGTTAATTATGTATGTTTATCTTCACGTATGTAATTTAGGTTTAAATTGCTCTAGCTGGAGGCGAAAGGTAAATTAGTATGCAGCAGAAGCTCTACTATACATTTGAATTAATAGCTAAAAAACCTGTTTATGCATACAAAAGTTACGGTGTATGAAATTCCCAAACATTAGTATATAAAATAGTAGATTATTTTATTGGCAGTCGTATAAAAATAAAAGTTTGATAATTTTGAGTTACTAGAAAGAAAGAAGTAAAAATAAGCACATAAATTCTATACCAAAAAAATATGTTTCTTCACTTATTTATCAAATATAGGCGTTTATAAATTGCCTATATTTGATAAATTATGCATTAATGAATATTATATTAATGTTTTAGTTTGACACTCAAAAAATCAGTAGCCTCCAGTGACCGAGAAGAGATTTTTTAAGATAAATTTATATTCTTAAAAATAAAAAATATAGGCCTCGTTCACAACTGATGAAATAAAAAAAAGAGTTGTGAGCAAACTTTTGTCACATGAGAATATTAATTCTTAGAAAACCCTCTTGTGTGCTCAAATATTTTATGTAACGTCCTACTTATTTCCCAAAATAATAATTAGGTCTAAACAATCATCAAATAATTTAGAAATTTTACTATATTCAAATTTTGAATTGCCGCGATGATTCGACTTATTGTCAAAGATCTGTCATTAAAAACAAAATCGATCGATTTGCGGATCACTTACATAATAGCAGACGTAAATCTTGCCGAATATAATCCTATAATGGAGCTGTAATAACTGATATTATCTTTAATTCACAAGCTGTTAGCAAGATGCCGCTCTTTGAATTGAAAATTTTGACATAAATTATTGAGCTTGTATACGTGCTTGGCAGGTTTATTGCCACTAAACAATCTCTGTCACTGTTATTTTTCTATTCGAAAATATTAATGTGTAACGTGTTTTTTTTTTAAACCAGAAGTAATGAGTACCGCATTGAAGTTTATAGCTTAAAGCTCGCGATGTTCTCATCTTTTTAATAACTGAAATTTGAATCATTACTTATCTGAATATTTTGTCTATTGAATATTAATGAAACTATTTTTATGTAAATAAATACTAAACAACATCACATACATCAGATCTCAAATTAATATCATTCAGCACTTGTATTATGGAAATCAGTCACATTGAAAATACTACAACACAAAGATCCCAGACAGTACAAAAACTTCATTTTCAAAATTGAACCGGCTTTGATCGAACTTTGGAGATGGTGAAGGTAAGTTTGCAATCAGCGTACAATTTTTAAAAGTTTTTTGATTTCATTTATTATATAATGATTAGTCATTTTTTTCTGTTTATTAAAATAGAATTAGTAGACAGTGCTTATAGACATCTGTGTTCTTCTTTGTTAGTAATCATACTTCGTGGTCATTCTTTGTCATTGTTAGTGGGTTAAAAAAGAGAAAAATTAAATACACATTTTTATTGTATATATTTTTATTAATAAACTATTTATATATTCAAATTAAGATGAATAAATCGTAATCTTTCACCTTAAAAATACAAGCAGATCAAAACCCTTAATACAAAGAACATTATTATAAAATCTATGCTCTGTTGGTTTTTCGATATATGTAAGCATTACGATTATCCATTTCTACATTCAATTTCATTCAGATAAACCATTTCAAAACGCCCAAAAAATTGCATTGTAACTGTTAAATAAATGTAACAGGTTTACACTATCCAACGTAACATTCTATTGTTACAGAAAACTCGAACGAATTTTACGGTGTACGGGTGCCGATGGTACGCCCATAGATACTGATAGCATACTGCATGGTGTGCTAATTCCTAGTCATTAACATGCAGTAGTATTCTACTGTTTTGCATTTTGAGATTCAGCGTCAGGACGTTTAACGCAGGGATTTATTGGTCTGAAGCCCCATAATTTAACGGAAAAATACATCAACTGTATTATTAACTAATCATTAAGTCCAGTAGCATGACGAACTTGAGAACGTTTGTATATACTCAACACCCAAATGTCACTTTTTTCGGGCGAACCCTTACGATATCTCACTTTAACCGCAAGAAAAGTGTAGACAAAGCATTTTTCCAGTATGTCATGCTACGTGTATAGCAGAGACTTATATAAACGAAAATAAAACAAACTATACAACGTCATAAATACTATTAGCAAACTTTTAGTCATCAATGTAATAATATAATTGTGATTTTTTTAAATAGTTACTATTTAGCTGGGTAAATTGGCGCCAAATATAATGTTACTCCTATTGACAACACAATGTAAACATAATTGACACAATACAATGAAATATGACGAATGTAATGTCACGCCTATAATGTGTTCACTTCTGTCTTAATTATATGATAACTCTCACTCTCATTCGATCCGACTCATCGCAACCTCACAAGGTTTCGTTACGGAGCAGTGATATCACTATCAACTTTCTTACGTACTTTGATATGTAGAGTAACTGCGGTATTTAACAACAAAACCACTGATACGCGCGATCACTTTCTGTACGGCCACGCGGCCGAACGCATTTGCGCGCCACATTATTACTTTTTAAAAAGTTCGTATATCCTTTATGACTATGTTCACATAAAAAAGAATAAAAAAGATTTTAAAAAGAAAAAAAACTTTTTGATTTAAAAATTAGAAAAAGAACGATTTCGAAACGTCAGATTTCCCGCGCGAAAATTTGCATGCTTATCGTCATCAATTAACAAGTGCATTCGCTAGTGAAGTAAGATCGTGATTTTCTTTTTAACCCATGGTTTGTTTAAATTATAGGATTTCCTTGCTGCGCTTACTTGGACAGTTGGTGCATTCGTCGCAACACCGGATATGTGGATAGCCGCCAAGCCAAGATGTGGTGATTTTATTCGAAGATAATTAAGTTTTAGTGTTGGAACAGTGACTGACCATAGACAATTAGTGCTAGTTATTGGTGCGCGATTGAAAGGAGGACTTCGAGGTGGACCAAAATGCTATTGTTTAAGGTGAGAACCCAGATTTTAAAATATAATAAAATTTGCTAATTTATCAGCAATGATTCACATTTCTCTAAATTCTGTTCCAGTATAGTGATTATATCAGTAACTCAATGCTTGCTGTTTCCAAAGGTCGCGCATTATTTTCCTAATTTGGTCAATGACAATTGCTTTGTTGATTCGAATTGCTCTTATGTGTCAAATTGATATATATTTTAAATAAACATTTATCAATTTGTCATACGATGCAAGAGCAGTTCGTAATTAACATTTATTAATTTAGTCTCATAAGACACTCTAATAGTAAAAAAATCATAACAATAATTACCGAGAATCACATTTGGTATTTGTCCCAATAATAAACGTATACAGCATTTGCAATTTTGCCACAATTTATGTATTAAATTTACAAATTATAAAAAATTGATTAAGAAATAATATATATAATGAATACATTCCAATTTGATTGCAATTTTAAATTAGAATTAGTAAATAATAATAATTAAACAAGGAATATGCCCTTATAGGAACATGCCCATATGGGAATATGTAACATTATACATGATTTCTTTCGGCCAAATAGAATCTAATATGTTATGTTTATACTTAAATAGTGTTATTTACAAAATTCTGCTTCAGAGTAAATTTACGCAAAAGTTGCACTTAGTGTTAGTCAAAACTAAGTAAATCTACTAGGTTAAATTGTATATAGTCTGTATTTAATAAAATAAACTTTGACGTTAATTTACTCCGAGTCCTAAGACTTTTTTGATAAGGTTTAAACTGACATCATTTATCAGAGTTAATAAGAAAAAATATTTTAATACTTTTTAAAACGTTCTTATAAAATGTTTCAAATGTATATATGTAGTTATTTCTGTTTTGTTTAACTATGATTTGGGAAAGCAACGTTTAACATAAACTAACAGTTTGTATTGTTAACGTCGCGTTAGTAAATCGGCGTATATGCGTTTGTTTGTACTTAGTATGGTGTTATTTAAATTGCTCATAGCAAATTAACTTTAAAAGACACGGTATTTTGTTTGTATTTAAATGTTTGTGATGTGACTTTTTGATCCTTAATTCAATTTCATTCAAAGCAGACCGATCTGACATAGCGTAAAGGTACATTGAAATAAAACCATAAAGGTTTTATATCTTTCGATCTGGCTCTTATACTCGTTAAGCTCACATTTATCTATTTCTTTTTGTTGTTTTAATTTTTTTGTCTTACGAAATTGATTTACCTTATTTACATATTAGTTATGGATAAAATCTTTTTTATTTTTGTTTGTTTATATTTCATTTCTTTATTTAAAATAATTTATATTGAATTTATTAACGTATGCATTTGTAACCGAAGAAAAATAAGTATTTTATTATATTACGCATTGTTTACATTTTGATTAAATTTGAAATGACAAAAAGACGTATTTTCAAAAATAATTGCTCTCTTAAAATCAATAACATAATATAACGGTGTAGCTCGGTGGCGTAGCAACTTTCGCAAGGGTCGGTCACGGGATGGGTGACCAAAAATTATTATCTTGACCTACTCCGAGTTTCGGAAGGCACGTTAAGCCGTTGGTCCCGGCTGCATTTGCAGTTGTTAATACCCTCCAATCCGCATTGGGCCAGCGTGGAGGGTCATGGCCCATCCTCCTTAACCATCCTTAATGAAGGCCTGAGCCCTTGCAGTGGGGACGTAAAAGGGCTAATGATGAACGTATCTATCTCCCAATACTATTCAATCTATTATGCACATTCTTCTCTCAATTATTTACCGAGTAGCTTATGTATTAAGTCTAAAAATTTCATTTTTTGCAAGAAATACTCTTTTCGGTCGAAAATCGAAAAAGGGGGGTTAATGTTCAACGGTGCTGTATGTTTTATAAAAAAAAAAAATATTGCTTTTGAATTTCGAATCTGTCATTTTAATAAGATTGTTAATTGTCTTTTTTATTTTCGCGCCAATTCATTATAAAATATTAATAGAGTGGGGTTATAACGAGAACCGCATCGCTGTGATTGCATTACATAAAGTAGGTGTTATCGACGAAGAGGGTGACGATGAATGGTGTGAGCACAGGTGCGAAAATAAACAACTTATCTTCTCAAAACTATATTGTCCACAAAACAAATATACTCGTCAAAGCACGTGACAATCAATAATAGACCATATGTCAATACAAAACAAAAATTAAATAAAAATCAAATATATATATATAAAAAAAAACTATAAAAACAAAGACAACGTATAAAAATAGGTCGGTTCAGCTGACGATCCTCAACAGTAGGCATGGAGCCTAACACAATTTTCAAACCCTCCATACGCTTGGCATTGGTCAAGTGTTTGTGTACCTATTGATAGATATAATAAATCGTCTTCTGTTTGTGACAGAAAAAGATCTGGCCGTCCACGTAGAGTTGTACGAAAAAGGCAAAGCAGTAAGGGAAACTATTCGAAGAAAGGCTGTCCGAAAGGAAAATAAATTATCTCGGGAAAGATAGCACCTTGAACTATGTCGTGTTTTTTAAAAGATAACTTAGGACTTGCACCCTAAAAGAGACGCACTGGTTACTTTTTAACAGATTATTTAAAAAATATTAGGGTGGTAAAATCAAAACAACTACTTAAGTGATACGCAAAGGAAGAACATAGAACAATTTTGTTTACGGCTGAGAAAATTTTAGTTCAACAAACAAAATTACCGTATTTATGCTTAAAGCTCTAAGGCAGCTTTACGATTTAGACAACAGATCACAACGTGCCCATGTTGTAATCTTTTGATGGACTTCAGTGATGTCATCCGACTTCAGTGATGGTTTGGCAGTGTGGTAGCTATGGTGGAGTTACCGCCATATTTGTATATGTAAAAAAGGCATCAAAACATCGGCCCAAGTGTACATCAAGGTAGCATTCTTGAGAAGGTAGTTACGCCCTTTAATAATACAATGTTTAATAACCAAGAATGGTCCTTTGAACAAAATTCGATACTAGGTCATAAAGCTCGGTCTATCCAATCTTGAACATTAGAAACGAACGTTCCGGACTTCGTCAGAGCTCAAGATTAACCAACATCTAGTCCAGATCGTAATCCACTAGATTATGATTTATGTTCAGTTATATAGAGTTAGGATTCCTCTAAACGCCATGATTTTTCTCATAGAAAGAATGTGTGCGTCTATTAATAATTGGCGTCAACGTTCAAAGGACTGTATTGCAGCCAACGAAGACCACTTTTACCGAATTAATGTATTAAACTAATACGCTGTAAAATTAATAAATGTTGCATTTAATAAAAAATGTTTTTATATTTATAGCAAGACATTTTTAGCTCGGCTACGGCTTTCCGGAGCTTATCCCCCATGTGAAGGTACAATGTTCTTTTAGCGAATACCCGCTGCTTAAATCCACAGAGAAGAGTCCCACAAAACCTCGTCGCGTCGCCAACTCGTGGTTTGCTAAAAGCATTATCCCAACATTAAAAAAAAACGGTTTATTTCTTTCCATAGTTGTAAAATGGAGATCTGAAATTTAAACCAATTAATTATTGAATATTTCTGTGATATGTGGCCCACACATGCAGACGATTATGTGTCCAATTACGTTACTATGTTTGGTTGTTATAATGAGGTTCATTTCCGTTCTACAAATTAGAGTAACCGCCACAATATTCACTTCGGAATTGATACTATGTGAACTTTTAACTTTTTAATTGCATGGTTGTCAGTAGCCATAAATATTCGGAGAGTGGAAAACATTTTCGCTCATCAATTAAATCCAAGTTAAACACATCCCGCTACATGGTTTGAAAAAGGTTACTACTAATTAAATAAGCTTTTTAGTTTCTAGTTTTTTTTATTTTATTTAGAACTAAAAAGGTCTAGGCGAAGAATTTGAGAAATGTATCTTCCTTTTGCGAATTGTGAGTTTCAACTAAAACGTATATATTACATTCATTTTTATTTTTAGAATTAGTTTTTGTATGGAAATTATGAAATGCGTAGAAATATTTGAAAATAAAAGCAATTGATGCATAGTTATTACACTTATTTAGTTATATGTATGTTATATTAAAAGAAAATAAATTTACATATTGCGAGGACTGTTGCCTACAGTTTGAAACAAAACTTGTGAACGATATTATTAATTTGTTAAGTATGATATTAACTAAATACAACAACGACTTTAGACCGATTTTATCTTAATAGATTTTTATTGTAGGTTGAATACTTCATGCACCCACTCAATTTAAAAAAATCGTATGTCTGTTTATGATATTACGTGCAACATTCATTCCAAGTATAAGTTGGTATTCAATAGTTATACTTATGAAACATCGGATTCGAAAGGAGTAGGTACAAATGAGTGTTCGATAACCTCAAACTCTATACGATTTAGAATGAAAATTGTCTGATGATTTACACAATATTTTATGTTATGAAAAGAACCATATTGTATTTGTGGTTTTACTCATGAAGATTTTTATGTTGAAAAACAAATTTTTGGTTTGATAACATAAAAAAGTTTTAATAGAATAAAATTAGGCAAGATATTGAAGTCACTCGTGAAATTAAAATACTACACACATGCTAATTGAGAACGGTCCTCTAAATGTTGCATGGATCCCTATTTTTGTCTTACTCATTTCAAATCATCCTACCGTCTACGACTTAATTCATACTGGACTTTTTAGAAGCAATGCACTATTTTTTTTGCTTTTTAATGTTACGTTTTGGTTAGCATAATGCAAAATGTTGAACTTTTTTAGAACAGAACACTATAATAGCAAAACAATAATGGACATAAGAATAAAATAAGTAATAAACATAAAAGAAAGTGCAATAAATATAAAATAATAGGACCCAAATTAGAAAAGTTCGAGATTTGACGTTGAGTTAAATTTGTAACTGGTAGATATCACCAAAATTGTGAATTTCTTAGGTCGAATTTAAATCAGTAGGCGCTAGGAATAATTAAATAATAGAGCTCCATGTTATTAGCATATCAACTAAAAAGGTAGATATTATATTCTTTTTACACAAGAAAATGTAGCTCAATAAATATTTATAAAAATATACACATTAATTGAGTAGGTATTAATAATGAGACAATCTGATAGAAACAAACGAAATCTTTAATTTTCACAGTGACGGAAAAATATATAAGTAATTAAAATTTATAGTTTAACTAATTCAGCATATACCTTATTACATTGTTTGTTTTTACGATTTGATAAAATAAGAAGTAACTGTAAAACTTAAGAGTACAAGATTAAATATCATATTAATAATAATATCATTGAATATCACTTTAACTTACTATTTGAAAGAAAACAAAATTTTTAGATTATTGCACTAGTGTCGCCGTAGGAGGGCGCTTAAGAAGCTTTAAATTTGAATATTAAATATTGACATTATATAGCAAGTCCCACAAGTAAAGGCTTTAAGACCTTTACTTGTGGAACAAAGGTCAAAAGCTACTAGAATACATTGGGTTGCTAAATTATCGGGGACTTTTATTTTCAATTTCCACTTACATACAATTTAAGTTGTGGTAAATTGTATATTTACTTTAAAAAAATATATATATACCTGCAAACCTTATATTATAAAACTTAGAGATGAAATAAATGTAATCTTGATCAAGAAATATTATTCTGGATTGTAAGATACAAATAAAATTGTTAAATTTATTGTTATTATACAAAAGTTCTACAGGCGCTGCCGCGGAACGCTCGCTACGATCGCTCGCTCGCTTTTTGTGTTGGTTACACTTTTAACCTAACCTAACTTATTGATCGCTTATTGGTATTTTCATGTTTAGAAATGGTATACCTAAAACAATGATATCAAAGTATTTCGATTAAAAAAAAAGTTGCAGTATATTCAAGATAAAGATTATTATGTTAAAAGAAGGAATCCCCATCAAAGTCATCCTAGAAACAGCAATAATGCAAAGTTTTATGGTCCCTAATAATATGGAAGCTCGGTATTTTGCATTGCGAAAGTTTTTGTATTGTGTTGTTTTGATAGTTCACGTTAACATTTAGGTTTCTTTTAGAAAAAGCAAGACAAATCGATACATCCGTATCATGAAACGATTGAAACAGCTAAATATAGATAGTGAAAGTGATAAAAATATTTCTATCTTTAGCACCGATAGTTATGCATGACTTGGATTTTTGGTTTCGAAACAAATGAGAAGATAGGTTTTTATGGTTCCGTACCCGAAGGGTAAAACGGGAACCTATTAAGACTTCGCTGTCTGTCCGTCTGTAACCAGGCTAAATCTTATGAACCGTGATAGTTAGACAGAAGAAATTTTTACATAATTGTGATGTAAAATAAAAATTTAAAGGGGCTCCCATACAACAATTATGATTTTATGCACGTTTTTTCATTACTTTTGACGTATACTCCGGTTTTCTAGGTGTTTTTCTATTTTTGAGGTGAGGTTCGATTTCCTACCAGCGTGGGCTTAAAATTTTATAATAAACTTTATTTGATTTAAAAAACCAGATATTTTTTTGGAACTTCAATAGTCTAAATTAACCTCTAGAACTTTTATAAATTGTCTCGGAGCTTCGTTGTAACATATTTCTGTAATAAAAACGCTTTAGCCACTTAATTCAGGCTCTGGGAGTTGTTTAATAGATTATTTAATATTTAGTTTTGCATTTTCAATGTTAGTATGGGTTTTAAGTATACCCTGATGATATAGAATATTTTTATCCAATTAAAACTTCTCTTAATAGAATTTCAAAACCCTCGAAAATTCGCTACTAAATAACTCTTCAATAAAGGTTTAATTATAAAATATTTTAAACTTAAAATAACATTAAGGGAAATTCAGGAGACTTGATAAGGTAGGTTATGATCCGGTTATTATTTCTCATAATACTAAAACGTAAATCTTTTTTAAATTCGCTCGATTGGAATTACTGCCAGATTGTTGTGTCCTCTGTTTTGTTTTCTCAAATAATGTTTCCTTTAAGTAAATTATTAAGCGTTATTGTATAGACTCTGAACTATATTCATCAAAACCTTTTATATGCAAGTCGTGTTTGTGATGATATTGCGTTACTTGAATAATTTAATAATATTAAAATTATATATTGGAATTAACCCTCATTTTATCGTGAACTCTTTTCTTTTTGCTGCACTAAAAGCTGTAAAATTAAAGTAATATTACTCGAGCTGGTGTTAAAATTTTTAACTAGTTAGATAACAAATCAGATTTAATTAATTACAGTAAAATTTTATTTAATTTTCCCAAGATGATTAACTTAAGCACTCGTTTTATGGAATTTTAATAAAAATCCGAAACAATATAGAAAAGCTTAAAGAACAATCGGAACCTGATCAGAGACATTAAAGATGGCGACGTCTAGAAACCACTATGCTGTTACGGAGATTAATATTCAAGTCAATATCGAAAGTTATCTGACACACAATTAGTAATTTAGGTGCAAAAGCTCCTTATAAAACTTCAAGTGTTCTCGCGCTTTAAAACGTAATTCCGTTTAGAAGCGGTTAATCGATTATGACAACGACTGTCCATTAACATGTAGTAATCTGACAGTTAACACGTAATTAGGTAAATAAACTTTTAGGTAGCACTATTCGACATTAAGTGGGTGCACGAAAATGAAAGGTACCGCTCATGCAGTCCGCGTTACTCATTCACCATAGTATACGATGTGAAATTTAAAAACAAAAGACGATTTCGTTTCACAACATCACCTAGTTATTTTTCTTCGGACATGAATAAATTTCACACATCAATCCCACTTTATAATACCGGAATGAATTAGCATGCCGTCAATTGTTGCAACATTAAAATAAAAAGATATCACTTTTCGCGAAATTATTGTTCTTATTTTTCTTTCGCAACTTCGCTAATAACGCATCGTATTTCGTTTTGTATTACACGATGTTACATATCATGTAGTATTAGTGTAACCGCACGTAATACGGTACGAAAGCGTCGCTGGAATCTTTTAACCACATGAATTACGAGTAAAAGCCAGCACTCCCATTTCTGAGCGGCAAGTGAACCGGTTTCGTAATAGGCACGAGTCTATTTTTTGCCGCTCACCTGTTAGCGGGCGCGGCAATGATCGCGCCCTCTATGGCTATGTTATCCGCATACTCGAACATCCACCCGCATTAACCGATTCACTTTTGCTTCCAGATTGCGCCAGTTTTCCTTTTGGCATTCGCCGTGGGAGCCGAGAAGAAGATCGAGTTACAGGACATCGAGGAAGACAATCTTAAAAGCGAGAAAGAAAAGGATTTTGATAAATCCGAACCTCGTTCTGAATCCGGACAGAGTTCTGGCCTTCCTTTGGAATTTTTGAAGAACGGCCTTCTCAGATACTTTGAATCTCCTACACACGGCCAGCAGCCGCAGCAACCGCGATATGTACAACAGTACGCAGTCACTGAACCCCCAGAACGACCTACAGTGTCAACTGAAAAAGGACACTATCCATCGACTGGTCAGCAGGCGATGGTCGGTTACTTGTCAAACGTACCCATGCAGATATATCTAGTCCCTCAGTATTACAACGAGCAGCCGGAACAAGCTGTTAACGCACAACCTGGAGTGCAGTACACAGCTCCTAGTATGCCTCGAGTGGCGTACCCTACAGCACCTGAAGCAGTACAAACACAAACGAATTATATAGAAGTGCCAGCATACGTGACGCCGACTGGGAAGGCATACGTACAGCAATACTCTTCACCTGTCGCATACGTAAGCTATACGCCTCCGCCGACCGTTGCTCCCACGCAGGCTACGGTAACCGCACCTGTGCTTGCCTATCCAGTACCAGTTGTTCAATACCCGACGGCAATCGTTGCACCTCCAGTCGTACCTAAAGGTTATTACCATAACTCACAGTATGAAAACAATGCTGTAGAGGAAACAAGGGATAACGATGAAGAACAGAAACATTACGTCACTCAAACTGACGCCCCCTATACGAAATCTCCGGAATACCCTAGATATTACTCATCGAGAGCACCTATTAGAGATGAATATAGACATAGTTCTATATCTGAGCTTCCTCCACCGAGCCCTTTGTTATTGAAAGGCCCACCGCCTCATTTGTCTCATATACCTAAAGCTCTTCCGATGTATCGTCCCCTATCGAAACCAGTGTACGCTAGCGCAGCAGGCCTTATCCAAAACGCTTACACCCCACGACCGAGCGACGCTTATGGGGTGCCATACAAACGACGTCCTAACTCGTTGCTGGAATCATACATTCCTTCTAGCTTACAGTTTGAATATTTAAAAAGAGGTTATAATAAAGATCCGTTAGCTTTGTACGAAGCGTTATCAAGCGGTAGGCATCATTCTCCAGTGGCGCCGAGGCATTACGAAAGAGGATTCCTTCCAAACCAGATGTATCATACCGCAGCAGGAGGAGTTACTTATGGTCACTACAAAAGAACCCCTAAAATTGATAAAGCATCGAAATAAATCAAAACAAAATATGATTTAGAGGCTACGCATTTATGATAGTGTGCTAATAAGTTCATACTATAATAAGGACTAAATTTCGATAAGGCTCAAGTTATGTTCTAAAAAATCTTTCACGTATGGTCAGTATTTTATTAAAAGTAGGTAAGTGTTATTTATGATAAATAAATTGTTGAAGAAAGTTTCTTTATTTAAATCCCTACCTAAATCTTTTTAATTTCGAAGGCGTCACAATAAATACTATTTATTTAAACATTTTCAGATATTGTTTGGTCACTGCACGATTCCCAAGCATGCAAGCAATTTTCACCTTTAGGTTTCATTTTTCAACATTTAAATTAGAGATGTTTATTCAGTAAATTATTAATATGAAACGTTTTCACACATTTCGGATAATTTAAGAAAAAAATAACATTAGATAACATCACATATATACATACATACATTGATTTCAAGTTGAGTAGCAGAACTCCTCTTTTTACAAAACGGCAAAGGATAATAATCACTGTCTGCTTACAATAAACTTTTAACAAGTTCTCAGTATCACTGTAGGTCAATGATTTTCGCTTTCAAAGTATATAAATAAATAAATCTTTACGACGATATAACATAAATTACTCAGATCCCAAGTTAATGAATTAAAGCACTTGTTATGTTATGGAAACCTAAAACAACGTAGGTAACAGAACAACCGGTCCCTAGAATCTAGAAGAGTTAATTTACTGCATTTATCCAGGCGGCAATAGAACGTGTTACCTCAAAGATGCCGGTTTGAAACCGTCGATCGAGCCACTTGGTCACGGCAGTCGTTGCCAAATGAAGAATAGGCTTAAAGCCTGACTTGCAGGCTTACCTTTGAACGCAATGTCAATTTCAATTCAATCTAATAATGATATCAAATTTTCATTCATCACTCTTAAAACATAGACTCGATACCAATTATGTATTAAAAAGTTTAGACGGGTTATTTGCGTACAACATTGATAGCAAGAAAGCAAGGCAATTGCCAAAATTTAACTTTAGTGACGTTTCAGCATGCGTTGTGGCTTATACCATTGCCACACGCAATTTTATGTGAAAAGTTGTAGAAACAATGCAAAAATTACACATTGACGTTGAGAAAGGTAAAAAAGATATATAAATGTACTTATAATTTTTTATTTTAATAAAAATAATAAAACGTCATTGAACGCAGCCATTTTTCGTTCTATGACTAGGGTAGATTGGAGTTGACATGTGAAGCTAAGCCAGTATTTATCTCGTTCTAATAAGAGGTATGCTGTATGATTCAGCTCAGACAGTTGAAGCTAGTGTACCAAATCAAAAGTACGAAATGTCACAATTGCAATGATGATCGATCGCGATTGAGTTCAAGAGTAAGCACGCACGTTATTAAATCAGTCAATATTTAAAAAAATCCTATCTTCGATATTTTTACTTTAAAACCGGAAAGCCAGTTTAGGTTTTATACGTCATACTAAATAACTAATAGTGGACAAAAACGATAGATACTTTTTAGGTTTTGAAGACGTTTATACTCTGTGTCTGAGAAAGTATTAAGTAGTCCTATTATAAAACAATTATTAAAGAGCAAGGTGATAAATTGAATACGCGCAGATGTTAGTTGAGGAATAACATCTTTGAATAATGTACAATTAAATGATCTATTGTCAAATACAATTAATATCTTTCAATGTAGGTTTGCCTGTACCTATGCCGCTTCATTTTTATCAAAGTGAAGTATAGTTCCGCTATAGAACTTTTTACATACGACCTTATAATACACCTTCGAAGAAATAAGATGGAATGATGATTGGGAAATATTTTGCCTTGATATTTCCATAATAGTTAAAGTATCACTTCACGTAAGATAAACATGAGATATAAGTGTAGCATGTGGGTATAAAATTGCATAAAAAATAATAGTTTAGTTTGAAATCTTTAGCGGAAATTGAAAAAAATGAAAATTATATGTTAATATTTTTAATATATAAAAATCAATTGCAGCTAGTTTGTTTCGTTAAAATTCGAGAAAGATTGGGCCTATTTAGTTTATTTTGATTTTGAAATATTTGTCGTAGACTAGAGAAATTGAAACGGTGAGAGATGAGATGAAGTACACCGGGTCATTTAGAATTAAATAAATACATATTAGATAATATCATATACATTGCTCAGATTCCAAGATGAGTAGCTAAATCTTTCGTATTATTGAGTATCTAAGATAAAAAAAGACACAACATTCAAACCCCATACAATATAAAAAATTTAATTCTGCACATTGACCCGACCGGGAATCGAACACAGACGATGACAGCTTCAAAGTTACGTGCGAACCACTACGAAGGCTACGAAGGTAGTATATTTTCATATTTATTTATACATTTTATCGCACAAAAAGATAAAATAAATACATAAGAAGGTACAAAAATAAAATTAACAACAGTTGTGCAACAGGTGACCTTATAACTGAACAGTTATTTATTTAAGGCAACCATTATTGTTTATGTACAAAATTTGAACTGTAATTTATATATATAAATATATAAAAATTAACCCACTTTAAAAAAGTAAACAATAAAAAGTGTAAAATTCACAAAACTGACAAAACCCACACAAAACTTCCGCCCGATTTCAATAGAAGTTTCGAGAATTATTTCATTTTTTTCATTTAAATTTTGAACTATTTATTACATCGTCTTGTAACACTACACATTGCACTTCATTCCAATCGATTGAAATAGGGTTGTCTGATCTCTTACAAATTAGCTTAAAGGCTGTCTAACCGCCAATCTTAGCGAACAAGTTCCGACATACAGTCACGATGTAATTGTTAGCTGGTACACTTATTTTAACATGTTTTTGTTAAACAAAAATTAAATATTTATACTATTAAAATGAGCCAAAGAAATTAATTGACAAAAATATAATATATTTAAAAAAAAACTATTTAGAGGAACATTACTTTGCCTTTATTAGTAACGTAAACCTAAAGATAATTGTGAGTATGTGAGTGAGTACAAATATGAGTGTGAGTTTTCTTTTTCTATTTTTCTCAATAGTATCGATGTATGCACTCAGATAGGTGGATGAAAAAATCCATTGTTCTTTAGTCTGTGGTTAATAGCATTCGCTGCAGGCTACGAAGGTAGTCATCATCGAGTCCTTTGTTTGATGTTACATATTGTAAAAAATAATATCATTTTATTTATGTAAAGTCACGCTCGGTGGCGTAGAGGATAAGTGCCACTTCACGCGATCGTTGTTGTTAAGTAACTTTCGCTAGGGTCGGTCACAAGATGGGTAACCAAAAACATTATCTTGAGCTGTGCTTCGGAAGACGCGTTAAGCAGTTGACTCTGGGTGCATTTGTAGTCGTTAATACCCTCCATTCCGCATTGAGCCAGCGCGTGGAGGGTTATAGTCAACAATTCATAAGGAAAACCTAATCTACTTCATCGATTAAAAAGATAAGAAAACATAAGCTACTGCAGTACTAAGCTACTGCAGTAGGGATGAGAAAGGGCTGATGATGATGATAAATGTTATGGTAGTGAAATTGGTTGCAGTGGATACAAGTCCGAGTAGCCTAATTAGTAGTAGCCGCGCGTAGTTTTTTTGTTGTTTCTAATAATATAATAAACACATATCCATATGTTTTAACAAAATCTGCTACTCTTGCCTCATATGAGTCTAAGAATAAAACTGTTTACCATTCCAATCGTAATCTTATGCAGGTATATTATATTTGATCATTCGCAATGCTATTTTTTCCCGACTACGGTGAAACGAAAAGTAGGGTTAGGATTTTGGCCGGTATGTGTGTAAGAATGTACATCTATTCCCTTATAACATCGAAACTATTCTATGATCAGTGGCATACGACTACGCTTTCCTTTGGTTATCGCTATTATAATATAGCTATCGCTATAAAATAAATTTCTTGTTTCAAACTTTAAAGAGAGGATTTACCTGTAGTCAGGTTTGAGTTTATGAACTTATAATTTTTGTGATTTTTATCTTCATGAAAATGCTTAAAAAAATGACTTGTTTCAAATTTGTTTAACCTGATTTTGTAATAAATTGATAACCATAAATACATTCGCATTTATAATATATCTTTTATACGGTACAATGCTTACATATTTAATAATAAAATAAATCAAATGAGACTCGAACAATTCCCATGTCTTTCACTGCTGATACACATGACTGATCGTGCTATATCAATTGAAATATCATATCTCAATCAATAAATCAGTGTTACTAGTCATTCGTTATGTAATTTACGGTAGCTCACGATTTTGAATATTGAATATGATCTATATGATAGCTTCATGGGAAGTGTTGAAATTTCTAGTTATTTATCATTTTGTTGGAGAATGGACGTACTATATAAGTAGATGGAGTGTTCGTGGTAAAAATGTGCAAGAGCTCAGTATGTTGAAGTACTTAGTGTGTACATCAGTACCCAGTGCGGAGGTCAGGAGCTGGAACATCTGGGATGGCGTGCGTTGAAGTTATAGAATGCGACCTTACATTACAAAAGTTTCAAATATTAAAACAAAATGGGGGGAACTCAGTATTTCCCACAAGATACTGAGGAACCCAATTTCAAAACAGACTTTTGAAATGACTGAAATTGGATTATTGCTTCATTATTATAAGTCAAGAAAAAATATTCAGACCATACTATCATGGAAGGTGGAAAATCACCATGTCTCAGAAGTTATGTCAGTTCCAAATAGAGTTTAATAATGGCAGAAATGAGTTTTGTTCCACTCAGAGGGTAGTAATAAAAGAAAATAAACAAAAATTTACCCTTATTGACGTCTGAAACTACGCCTTAAATCAGATTTTTTTAAACATATAGATAATATGGCCAAAGAGTGATCAGATTTAGCAATTCAATGTTATACACTTTCACTTCTTTACACCACTTTACGACTAGATAAAATAGAACCCATCTCGATATTGCACCATTCTTTTCAATATTTTTTGATATTACCTTCCTCATAAAACGACTCTATTATGCAAACATTAAAAACTTGTCAAAATGATCTTATAAATCTATAATGTATTAATGTAAGTACTTAAATAAAAGCTTTTTCTTATTTCACTAAAAATGTGCATTAAAAATATGCATTACTAAAATGAACTGAAAAGTCAATAA